GATTAAACATTGCAAAATACACAGAACTGGGATAATTGTTAGATCCTCTGTAGTAGTCCTAGTCGTAGTAGTATTGTAATGAACAAGAATATGACTGGGGATAATCGAATGTATTTGATACGAAATTACAGAGCATCTCAATAAAATCTGAGAACCATATGATAAATAGTTAATTTGCAAAAATATCAATCCATCATTTCAAACTTCACTGTTCCTTTCGTAAACATCAATCCCTTGTCTCAGATTTCATTGTTCATGTATTTTCATACCAATTTCGTTCCATTCCCGTTCTTTTCTTATAGATCTTCTGAAATACATTCAATGCTTGACCACTGTTATATACTACTTATATAGATATAAGTAACCCACACCACAGTACTACATACCCACAACGAAACATAATAGACTGAACTTATGATCTTAGAACTGTTTAGCGAATACGACACTTTTAATTTATCTAATGTATAATTCAATTTATCAATGTACAAATTTATATGTATTCAGTTTTAAGTTAGATTGTTTGCTTACTAGAGGTCTAGGTATATTACTATACTGTTCGAACTAACCATTTGAAGGCTTGGTTTTAATTCTCGACTTACTGATCAATCATTTCAACCATAAATTATATGAATTAAAATCCTGTAATCTAAATGCTTAATAATTATTATAATAATTCTACCTTCATTGACTTCATACTGTGTATATGCAGAGAACATAAACAAATCAGAAACTTGGCATGAATACTCTTCAGATTGAATATTTGAATAGCATTAAAATTCTTAATGTAATTTCCATCAGATGGTGGTTGGAAGTAGTCAACAGGAAACCCTGGACTTGTGTTTCATGCTACTTGGCACTCGTCAGCAAGATATACCTGTAATCGTTAAGGAACTGGTGCTCCCTGACGGATTCGATCCCGTGTCGATAGCATTCGATCTGCACTAAAAAGGATTTGACACACATGATATTGATCACCATCCAGTGATCAATCAATTTTGATTACATCCCAGTCCTATAGGAGGTCAGTCGTGGCCCGGATAGCCCAGTGGTAACGTCTCTGACTGTAAAACTGGGTGACACCGGATCGAATCAGTCAGAGGGGGGCGTCAGTTCCCTCAAGTTTACAGCCACACTTTGCTGACGAGTACCAAGTAGCACGAAACCTGGGTTAACAGGGTTTCCTATTGACTACCTTCAACCACCGTCTAATTTCAGCATAGTGCACGCAATATCGAGTCACCTAGACTAGTGGCTACTTTGTAACTTGGTCTATAGCATTTGATCTGCACTAAGAAGGACTTGACACAGATGATATTGATCACTACCCAGTGATCAATCAGTTATGGTAATTTCCTTTTTGATTGAATTGATTGAAACATGTGTTAAGTATCAATTCATCCATGATACGCAATTTTGGCTGGAGTAAAAGTAATTTGAAGCAAATGAAGATATGACATGAATTCACGAAGTTATTAACTGTTAGTATGAGCCAGTTGTTTGACATATTATATGAAATAGCTTAGAATTAGTTACAATGACACATTATATATTCCATTCGATCTTATCTTTCAGTATTCTTCTATTCACACTTTTCTAATTTCATCGTTTCGAATCATATTCTTAGTTCTATCATTTTACTATAATTATTCCGACTCATTTTGATATTCATCTGTCATAATAATCAGTTTTATTATGTTGTTCGATCTTTTCTTTCTAAATCAATACACTATCTTAGTTGTGAAATTATTAAACTTTTTATAAATTTTATGCCTGACCGTTGTTGCTACCTTGAAGTGGTCGGGCTTGCCTATTGTGATGAAGCAACCGAGCTATACTGGCTGGAACAATTGTTCCTCAGGGTCCTACCATTCCATAAAAGCAATTTGGTTAGAGAGTGGTAAGACTAAAAGCAACAAACTCAAGGTTCGAAGGCGAAGTCGTACTGCTGACTGTACAGAGGTGTGACAACAGCAAAGTGTTTCCTTCAGACAACCAGCATGACAGCGATGCTGCCTTCCCACAAAGAGGGGTGGGGTTAGAAATGGTCGACCCTAAAAATGCACATCTCGCTTTATCCCACGGATATCCGTCTCCGGCGGTATGGTCTCAACAAGTACTGAGCTAACACGTAAACTACTCACAAAAAGGTCGTATGTGACCGACCTCAAGCAGTTGTCCCTTGGGCACTGTGGTTACGCTCGCAGGTCACTAAGGCCACCTCTAATCCAATTTCCTTTTCACGTACCTCCAGAAGAACCCTTCCATGGTGTGGGCAACCGGGAAGTGATAACCGTCCCCATACATCTAATAGCAATCAAGACTGACTGACTGGCTGATTGAAATTTTATGCGTTATCATCTTTTTATTTTTTTAGTGCTGTTTATATACAACCACCCGGATTATGAGTCAAACTCATGTAATTTATTTCATCATCTATGATTCTAAGGTTTTATAATGACTGAAAGAATTTGTTCTTTTAAGAGATAAGACAATACCTAATTATGATCATCATTAGTATTAGAGATAGTTTTTAGAGTACCTTATTTATTGATATTTCTTTTCATTAAAATTATATCTTCAACCTTAAAGTAACTGATTTAACCTTGATGATTAGAGAAGGTATCATGCAGTACTCTTATTATAATGTAACTACCGCTGTGATATTATTGTATTTAGTAAACATGTACTCTCAGATATTTTTTTCTCATGTTTATTACTATTCTGTCAATATTAATAGTAATAATAATAGAATGTAAACAGCATGATATCAATGAATGTTAAATGAGTATGTCAATATTTCGATTATACCTCTGGAGAGTTTATTTCTAAAGTATCTGTGGTTGTGATAAGATGTAACCCTAGTTAATATTATTGATACATTTTCACTTATTGTGTGGGTTATCTAATCAGGAAGCTTAAATGTAACACGAATTTTTGTTCCTGGTCGCTTCTAACCATTTGGTGTCAAACACTTTATTCATCCTCTCGTTCGTAATCAATGATGATTTCTGTTTTATTTATTTGAAACGTTTTTGTAGAGAATGACTTGATTTTGAGGTAGTATTCGCTACAGATTGGTTTCATTTAGGATAATAAGGAACCTGTCAGTTTTGAATTCGACCCCTAATGGTCTTATGGATTCATATTGCTGAAAAGTCCTCCAGTTTTCGGTGGTTCTCTAATTGAAATCAGTATGTGACGAATCAAAACTACAAATTTTATCACATGTTTAACTATGTAGTTGATTAGGCTCGCATCAACCACCCAATTTTTAGAAAATTTCTCTACCTAGACCTAAACATAGTGTTTGTGTCAGCCCCCGAATGCCTTTGTATGGCTGAGAGTGGGGAGAGTCCGCTCTCCCTCTCCAAATGCTCTCACATGACCACGCGTATATCAAGTGATATTTGTGTGGCGCATATGTATTTGGTGTTTCCTTAATGTTTGTGTTAAAATTGGTCAAATATTAAATGTTTTCACTTGTATCGAAGTTATTAATAGTTTAAAAAGAATGTAAGGATTTTTTATTCAATGGAAAAAGTCATCTGACGTTACAATGAGCACAATAATAAAAAGAACTATCATCCATATGAGATAAGGTATGAGTGTAAAATTATGAAACGAAGCATTGTGTTTGTGTATTTGTTTTTGGTATGTCAATTTTATTACGTAATACTTACAATAATGATGCGAATAGCGTTTTTTTTGGAGACTGTAGAATTTTCATAGTTTCTAAATCATAAACTGATCTTAACTAGACAATTATTGAAATCTAAGAAGCATTTGACAGTTGTTTCTACACCTTATGTACTAATAATGATCCTGCACGCACTACTGAGTAGCTTTACGATTGAACTCTTGAAGTTCTACTGAAACGCTCTGACCAACGGAGTTCAGCTATGTCAGCTATAAGAGAATTATCCATTTCAGGCAATGAAAGATAGTCGTGCAATATTGGAAATTCATTGAAGCTATGTACGTACCGCAACAAATGCCATTTCAATGATCTAGAGGTTAAGTGTTTGCGCGCGAGATCAAATGTTGTAGCATCGATACCCCGTGGTCGTGTCGTGAATGCACATTTCCATACTAAGACGAAACAATAGTCCAGTGCTTGCTAGCTTTTAATGATGGTCTAGGTAATATCAGTTTGTTATTTTAGATATAAATAATAGGCAATTTAATTTTGTTGATAGTAGTTTCGTTACTAGTTGTTAAATGTATAGTCGTCTTCAATCTCATCATAAAGATCATTAAGTCGGCTTACCGTACTTTTCAATGTTTATATTATGGCGTGAGAAAGTCTTTTTTAGTTCTCATCTCGTTCTAATAATGACAATGATAATAATATTATTAAGAGCATCTGACTGACCAAAGAGAGGTTAGTGGACTGGGGTCTAAATATATAACCTACTGGTTGAAAACCGAGTGATTTAGTCACTCTAACTAACCGCTTCATGACTCGATTTAGGAGTCTAATCCTGATATATATATATATATATATATATATATATATATATATATATATATATATATATCGGTTTATCATTCAGAATGTTTATGAATATCATCCATTTACAAACTAATGAGTTAATTTATCTACAGAAAAGCTATCAGCTCTTGATAAATCAACAAATCAGTATAGAATATAACATCAAAGAATGTATATAAATGCACATTGCTATACTTTACACAAAAAGAACTCCACAATAAAGAAGCGAAGTCAAATGAAAGTATGTTGTCTGTGACAAAAATAAAATAAAAGTCAACAGAATGAACAATATTGATTAACTTCATCTGTGTGTTGAAAGTGGACACATTCCAGCCTAACTAATATGTACAGCATCAGCCTGTAAAGTTATCGACTATTGAAATGAACTACACTGTAAATATATCAGTATTGTTTGATTTAAACACGTAATAATAAGTCATTTTTTCAATGCTTTTCATTATTTCTAATCTCTATCAATTTTCTTCTATTGTCTCGTTGATCTCTTTAGATGGACAAGCACCAACATTTGATGAATCGGAAGGACAAGCTGGTTGGATTGAAGGTTTAGCCATTCTTATTGCTGTATTTGTTGTTGTATTTGTTGTGGCATTGAATGATTGGCAAAAGGAACGACAATTTCGTGGTTTACAAAATAAAATTGAATCAGAGCATACATTTTTTGTTATACGTAAAGGTGATACTAAACAAATTCCTGTAAAAGAAATTGTTGTTGGTGATGTATGTCAAGTAAAATATGGTAAGTTGATTGTTTAGCAGATTACGATATTTTTCAGCATGTGGTTGTGGGGATTGTTGAATTTTGTTGAAGTTGGGAACTGTTCCAAATTAGACGACCATCAACTTGGGAGCACAGGACAGCCGTTTCATCCTAGCATAGGTCTTAGCAGTACTGATCCACAGTCCCATAACCGGGAATCGACATTTACCATGTGGTCACTGGCTACTGAGGAGCTTCGTACTAAGATGAATCGATCGTTAGTGCTCTCAGGTTTTTTATGAGTGTCTAATGTAAATCGGCTCTTGATGTCAATATTAAGCTTTTCATATACCATTAAATAAAGAACAATATGAATTGGAAATAGAGCAAAGGATATGAATGACAGTGATTTAAGCAGTTATATTCAATTTTCTTTTTCATTGACTCAAAATTGTTATCACTAGTAATCTTCATATGCAAGATGTATAGCTCATAGCTAAATATTTATGTAAAGAGAAAGGTTAATAAGTGACAGACAAATCATCTTATTTAGATTCAATGTATCAATTGGAAGATCAAAGAGATTCATTATAAAGTAAATGGTAAATGAATCAGTATTCCTTCCAAATTAATCACATTTGACGAGAAAAGCTTTTGGTCACCGGTTGTTATCAGCTAAATGAGTATTAGTAACCAAGATATATACTAGACATGCTTGTTTGGTTGACTGTGCCTCGAAAGTAAACACAGGATGAGTGCTTAATTAACATGAGTCACAGTTCACTATGCTATTGATTCTTTTAGATTAGTGGTCATTTATTGTAATTCTGTCTATAAAATACGCCTAGCACTAATAACTAAACATTCTGATATTGGTTAATGCTACTGACTGACATAAGTAGTATATGATGTTAGTTGTAAACAGAAGGTCTGGCAGCAGAGAGACAAGAGGATCGAACAGTAAAGAATGGGGACAGATGGCACTTTGTATGAAAATGCAAGAACGATGAAGTCTGAGTCATTTTGAGACATTTGATGAACATTTTGCAAATTACGTATTTACTATTTGATTGTTAGATTTTATTAACAAGTCCTATAATTTTGTGTTAAATACATTCGATTGTCCCCACCCGTGTCCTGTTCACTACACTAATACTACTGTGGTGTACACTACTTTTGCGGACAGATGTAAGTAGTTTGTAGTAGGAATTGGATGTGGAATGCTTACCAGCATACGATTGAAACAAAGAGAAGAGGAAGGAAAACAAAAAAAAGTCGGGATGACAACAGAGTTGGTAGAATGATGGGATATCTAAAGGACAACCGAAGGAAAATGTGCAGATGATGTATTCAAAGTATGATTTACATAATTTGCAAAGGCACTATGTGATTTTGCATTTCTTCATTCACAACACTACTACTACTGCTACTTCTGCTCAGTAGTCGATCGGTGTTGTTATTCAAATGATCTAAATTGATTTTCGTCAAACATTATGATAGTACATATCACCCGGTTTACTGTTATTCATATGTATTTAGTAGTATGTATAACCTTACACTTAAATCATATAATGTAAGAATATTATGTTTAATAGTTGCTCAATACTTGAAATAATCTAGGGCGGTGCCCTATGTGCACATTGTTTATTCAATTTACATATTTTTGCAATAGCTGCGACTTAACTATTCCTGTTTAATTAAGGTCAAATGTTGAAATTCCCGCTACGACTATTTCGTTGATAGGAAAAACAAATAAATTTACTCAGAATAAATCAGCAAACAGCACAATTAGGTGTGGTTTATCATCGATGACTACTTGTATATATGTATGTATACATGATTTATGAATTATTCCAGTGAATTAATTGGTTAGGTCAATTTAAATGATCGAAACTAACTGAACATGAGATTTCATAGTTTACCTAATCATAGGTTTATTACCGATAAAGGTAATATTATAATCAAATACAATGTTTTCACGCTTTTTTGAATCAGTTTTGCATGACCTAACATGACCCATGTACCTCATTGACCAATCACAAACAGAATTTCAAATAAACCGGTCTACTTCTACATTACGAAGTAAAAGGTTGATGATATTGTCCATCAATTAATAATTGAAGTTTCCCTAGTTAAAGCAATCAGTTCAATAAATGTAATACGTTTAAAAATGATACCTGGCAAAAACGTTCCTAAAACTAACTATGGTTTAAAACTTCCTTCTACTTTAGTAAATTGGATCAATAGACAACTAATAAATGAGAAAATTGATCGAAATTTGACAAAGAGAATTTGAAGTGACTTATGTTGTCAATTCAACTTCTATATTCCTATATAATGGGATCGCTGAATTATCGAATCCACTAATGAGAAGTTCTCCTTGAACCATTAATGCTAATAACCTTCGCCTAACCAATAAAAACTATGAACACCAATTACTATTGACTGTCTTAACACATTGATTCACATGGATGATGAAATGTGTGAAGTAACGGAGGGACGGTTGGCTGCTGGATTACATTATGAAAAATTATAACGTTTCTAAAAACAAAACAATTATTATATAGAGTTTCAGTTTAAATTAGGGTTCCAATGTAGCGTTTAGTGTTTGGTTAGAATTAGGATACGGAATTTAATGGTAGGGTTAGAGTTTTAGCTTAGGACTAGAGTCATTGAGAAGAAATCCCTTCTCTGAAATGGGAATTGTATGTCAATTCATTATAATTAACAATAGTGAGATTGAATCTAGATTTTAGATTGTTTTTGTCGTTAAAATACTCGATTTACAATCAGTGAATTACAGATTCTTCTTCTTGTTCATTGTTCGATTTAGTTATGGTTTGTCATTAAAAAAATAATCCCACACATTGAAGCTAAACGGTTTAACTTAGTAACCAAACGATATGTCCCTAATATTATTCATAAATACCTAGTTTACTGATTACTTGCTTAATCTTGATGTAAAATACGTTAATCAATCATTAAATAATTTGCATAGTTTGAATAGTTTCATATATATGTGCGAGTGAATTTATAGAATTCTCATTTTTTCCCATTGGCCTTCTATATACAAAAAGGATAAGAATGGGTATTTATTATTATTGTTATTTTTTAGACCCCATTCCCCACAAACTCTCTCTTTCTCTACCTAATGATTATGTTCTCGTGCCTATGTGTGTGCAATATACAAAAAGTATACATACATCATTGGCTCTTATAGCGTCTTACATTTCGATATTAAAGAATCATTAATTTTTGGTTTGTATATTAAACTAATGTATAAATATATTCACTGTTGAAATCACGGGTCAAGCTAAGCTAGGCCACCATTAAAGACGTGGAAGCATTGAACAACCGTTCCATTCTAGAACGGGACTCTTGAACAGTACATATCCCCCAACTCGTACGCGGGATTCGAACTCAGGACCTTCAGTCTCGCTCGCGAACGCTTAACCTAGTCTATGGTTATTTCAATCAGTATTCCACTTTGTTAAGACAGTCTTATTGACCACTTACAGGTTGATAATTGTATTTGTATATTTGCAGAATATGTGTTGTTCAATTTATTGTGCATATAATATATATCTACCCCTTTCGAACGTTCTCTGTTTTACCGTATCTGTACGTAAGTGTGAGTCGTAAATATCGTCATATTTACATTTCTGTATCGTTAGTTGTCTTATGGTAATCGAACTGAACTGATTCGTTAATTCAATCCATCACCTCACCTTGTATATATAGTGAACTGAACACAACCATAGCTAAAGATCAGTTGGCTTTCTATAAGATTATCGAGAGCAATTCTATAAACAAACAAGAAAAGTGCTAATATGGCTCCTATAGATATACGCACATATGTAAACTAAGGTACTTACGTGCATAAATATGCTTGAAACCGATCACACCCGACTCTCCTAAAAGAAGTTTTCAATGTGTCAGCATCATACGTTTTAGTCCCTACTTCAGGCAACAGGAATCTGTCGACCAAGATGAAGTGTACCTACTCTAGGGTCAACCTCTTCTCATCACCTGCTTTTGTTGTGTCAATACAATATTGGTGTCTGTAGGAAACATTTTACAGTTACTACACCTTAATAACATCATCAGTACGGACCATGAGTTTGTTACCCGTAGTTTTACCATGCCAATTCAAATATCTGTTATTGTAGGACTTAAATAGAGCAAATATTTTAACCAATCTATTTCGTTCGGTATCTTTGCTTGATCATTACATATCAAGGTATGAGTTACAATAGAGAAGCGGTTACATTTTTATCTCTTTTATTCAATGAAATACCATTTATTTATTATTACGAATAGTTACGTGATATTATTTTTCTAATTTTCTTTTTCAATACCCCCCACCCAAAAAAACTTTTCTAATTAGGTGATCTCCTACCAGCTGATGGTATAGTGATACAATGTAATGATTTAAAAATTGATGAAAGTTCATTAACTGGTGAATCGGATCAAGTAAGAAAAAGTGAAACAAAAGATCCTGTCCTACTTTCAGGTAATTTCTTTAATTGGTTTTTCTTTTTTCTTTCTCGCTTTAAGTCCATTTTGAAAATTCTATTATTCCCCTGCTTCACATTCACTCTCACACAAACAAACAAACAGCGATACCATCATATGTATATCTTTCAAATTTCAACAAAATAAGTAGAGACTAGTGAATGAAAATAATTTGTTCAATAAAATCAAGTTATCAGTTTATACTGTTCATGGCTTTCTATCATATATTGTTTACAAAACTTGTCTAATGTTGTGAATGCTTATACTGATTATAAGTAATGATTTGACAGATACATTATGTTTTTGATTGAGATCATGAACCGATTGATGTTAGACCACCTTTTGGAAACTTGCAAACACTGGACTGCCGTTTCGTCCTATTGTAGGACTTCTCAGCAGTGGAGCTAATCTATGTCGGGTAGAGACAGGTATCTACTTCAGTACAATGAAAGATAGTCACACAACTTCGTGGATTGGTTGAGGTTAGACACTATCACCATTGGATGCCGGCTCAGTGGTTCAGTAGGTTAAGCGTTCGTGCGCGATACTGAAAGCTCTGAGTTCGGATCTCGCGAGCGAGATCATGGATGCGCACTGCTGAGGAGTCCCACAATAGGACGAAACGGCAGTCCAGTGCTTCCAAGTTTTCAATGGTAGTCTAACATCAATCGGTTCATGATCTCAATCAAAAATTTAATCATCTCCACAACTCCTATACTAGATGAATCAAATTAAGATAAACATTCAAAATAGAGGGAAGAGTTAGTCAAGCCAGAAAATACAAATTACAAAAGTATTTATTTATTTGTTTTCGATTTGTTCGAGGGCTTTGATATTGCTCAGGTGCCCCATATCGAAGCAAGTGGTTTACTTGGGAGGTCAACACCCCGAGACTTTGACTTAGATGTCTACTCCATAAGTCAGTGAAGAAACGTTACGAGATGCAGTCCCATGGTAGTCAGTAACCAACAATAGCTTCATACTTCATTTGTTCTCTTCAGGATCCTATAGCCCATGTAAACCACTGGTTTAGAATCAGGGTTTTCTAACTCCTCTAGATGGATCCACCGTATCCAACAACCTGGTTAAAGCGTCAGACATTTGCTTTTCGTTCTCTCAATTTCGTAGAAAGCACTCGTGATGCGAGAAGGCACTGAGTAGGACTTCCCTGTCGGTCGTTGTATGCACGTGGTCATGTGAGAGCATTTTTCTGAGGAGAGCTGACTCTCCCCATTCTTGGTCGTACCAGGGCATTTACGGGCGTGTTGTTCATACTCCTAAATTCGTTACTCACTTATTAAATAAACAAAGAATTGCTTGAAAATGCCAGATATGACATTTTTGTTGTACTTCTCACAAATCTTTGTGTTACGTCTTTGATCCATCTACACAATAATATATAGGTGAAAACTTGTCTCGATCTAGGTTTAGGCCTTGACACGATAGGTCAATTGATGTTAACCTTGAGGTTAGAAATATGTGAGTCCGAATTGTGACGACTTTGGTCGGAGAGACGAAACTATTCTATCAGCTGATTAGTTGACAGGCGAGAGAACGAGAAAGAAAATGAGCCAACTGAAATACTACTTGATTTATTCCCTATTCCCAATTCAGATTAATGTTAGAAGGTATGTAAATTAATAGATGAATATGACAACCGCCTGGTACAAACAATTAGACAAACACAATTTTGTGTAAAGTAAGCATTAGACTAGAAAAATTACAATAGCTTTGGAATAGAAACTGATACGGTAATTAATCACACATTAAATGAAAGCTTACAATTCATGGAATAAACTAGGGACAAAACGAAATATAAGTACTTGACAAACTTTGAATGCATTGAAATGACATCTTCAAAAATAGCTTACGTTCATTGTTATGACTTCTTTATTTCTCTATTCATATCCTTTTGTTATACAAAATAATTGGTTGAAGTTAGACATTAACACCGTTGGATGACGGCTCAGTGGTCTAGTTGGTTAAGTGCCTGACGCGAGACTGATAGGTCCTGGGTTCGAATCTCACGAGGTGCGGGATCGTGGATGCGCACTGTTGAGGAGTCCCATACTAGGACGAAACGGCCGTCTAGCGCTTCCAGATTTTCCATGATGATCTAGCTTCAATCGACTCATGATTTCAACCAGTGAAACAAAATAATTTGTTAAATAAACACTGTTTTCTCTCTCTCCCTTTTCAATTCAATCAACTTGAATTAGTTCTTTTGTGTTGATGACCTGTTTTACAAATAAAATTAATAACTATAATTGATAAGAGGTTAAAGTTATTGATGAAACGAAGTGAATTTGGCTATTTGGTTATGTGAAATGAATTTTTTTGTAATAGAAACTTTTTAATTCCATCATGATTATTTCACAGTTGAGCTCATTTCTCTCACTCACTCAGTCACTTACTCAATTTCTACCATGATTTGCGTGTAAGTTTTTTTTCACAGGTTTCTTTTCTATTTAATGTGTGTGTACGTGTATGTTTGTAATAAGGATTAAGAAAATAATAAAACTGATTGACCGACTACTTGACATTATTATTATTATAGTTTGTAGTAGTCGTATTCGTAGTAGCAGTGATGTATTTGTCACGTATTAAATATTCACTTATTTTTCATTCAAAAAGAAACTATAGTTTAAGATTTAAATGGTTAAATGATGTATGATGTTGTTTTTAAGTATTCATAGTGTTTAGCTGTGGTAGTGTGTGCATTTATAACTTCACTGGAGATCGAATTCAAGATGTCCAAGATTTATGAAGGGAGTTAGTATCCAGTAATTAACATGATTTTCGATGGTTGTCAAATGAAAGTCAATTAGTCAATGATTGATATCTAGAGAATCCTGTTATGCTTTCCTGCTCATGTGTTTCATTTCGTCTATAGCTTAAAACCTTCAACTGTAACTTATAAAATATTTTGACTGGTAAGATTAATCTTGAGTTGCTCTTACACGGCCACGCGTATATAGCCTTTACCAGGGAAGTTCTACTCACTGCCTCCTCGTGGCGGGGGTGTTGTTTACGAAAATGAGAGGACGAAAAGCGAATTTCCGGCGCTTTAACCGGATTCCAAACCGATGGTGCACATGGGCTCCAATATCCTGCGGGAACAAATGGCGTATGAACCAATTTTCGGTCACCGGTTACCATGGGACTGCATCTCCTTACGATGCTCCACTGCCTTGTGGGTTAGATCTTTAGGTCAAAGGCTCGGGGAGTGGCCCCCTAAGAAAACCACCTGGTTCGGTTCGGGCACCCGGACAGTATCACAGCCCTCACACATATCAAATGAGATTTGTGTGGCTCATATGTATTTGGTGCCTCTTTGTACCAATATCTATATGTTGAAATAAATAAATAAAATAAATTAATCTTGAGTTAAGACTGAGATGATTTTGACTCCTATTGGTTTCACAAATGATAAATCCGTATAAGAGGATATAACGGACAAACTTCTATTATGTATATTTTAAGTGCACATTGTAATTATCTCAAGCAATCATTTATTTCTGTGCCATTCTTTACACACAATCATTTCATAAGTGTAGCAACTCGAACTGATGTACGTACGCACGAAGTTTTTGACAGAGTTTTGTTCTCTGAACTGGATGGTTTGGTCGCGGAGCTTTCATCGTTCTTCTGAACAACATCATCAGCACAAACTTCCATCAGACTTCTATCTGAAGTTTGTGCTGATGATGTTGTTCAGAAGAACGATGAAAGCTCGATGACCAAACCATCCAGCTCAGAGAACAAAACTCCACCAAAATCATCCACCTGAGCTACAAATCTCCACCATCTCACGTACGAAGTTCTACGTTGTTACTGACTGACTGACTTGTCAAAAGATCCAACGAAAATGAACATTACACAATTTGGGTTTCATTTAAACTGATAGACTTCGATCTTTTTTCTTTTTTTTCCTCGATTTTTTAATCATAAATAATCATATTTGTTTTTCTTCCCTATAGGCACTCATGTTATGGAAGGTTCCGGTAAAATGGTTGTTACTGCCGTTGGACCGAATTCACAAGCTGGTATAATATTTGCTTTGCTATCTTCTGGTTCTCATGATGAACATGGTGGCGGTGGTCAAGAGAAAAAAAAGGAGAAAAGTGAGTCATGTGTTCTTTTTTTCGTAATCATTAGCGTAGTACTTTGTCTGAGTATTTGTGATTTTTGTTATTCTTGTTTACCTACACCTGTTACCCCTCATGGAGGTGCATAGGTTGCCCACCAACATTCTCCATCCAACTCTGTCTTGGGCAATCATTTCTTGTTGCTATTTATCCTGTGGATGTCTGCTTCCAATTCCCGAGATAGTGTATTATTTGACCTTCCTCTTTTCCCTTCACCCTCAGGATTCCAAGTTAAGGCCTCTTATCAGTATTCAATTAATTATTCCAGTAGAGAATGAGATCGAATACAAGATTTTGAAATTTCATTGCAAGTTCCGATTATCATTCGGTTGAAATGCAGTTGTTCAATTTACAAAGGATTACTTCAGTTATCATTGTTTGTCTCATGTATGACTATATTTGCGAAAGCTAAACTTTTTATTAGTACATTACCTTGAATATAACCTCTTTTTCTTCCAATTCATAGTAGAGAACAGTCACTAGTGTAAAATTAAATGATCACTTGTCTTTCGTTTTTATTTAGGCAAAACTAAAAAGAATGGTAAAAAAGGGAAAAAGAACACTGACAAAGTACCATCTGCTAATTCCGATGCTTATCAAATGAAATCAAAGGAGAATAAAACAAAAACTGAATCTGATACAGAACAGAATTCGAAACCGAAGAAAAAACCACGTCGTAAAGAACAATCTGTGTTACAAGCAAAATTAACTAAATTAGCCATACAAATTGGTTATGTTGGTTAGTCACTATTAATTTATTTTATTATTACTTAATTTATATAAACACACATAGATTGACACAAATAACTGGAGTTGTGTGTAGACTGGGATACTGCTTGGGTTCTCAAATCAGAGCAAATGGTTTTGTTAGGGGACCGCTTTCCGAACCTTTGACGCAGGTCGAATCCACAAGGTAGTGGAACAACATTAGGATATGCGGTTCCACGCTATCCAGTGACCGAAAACAGATTCATACACCATTTTCTTAAACTCAGGATTCTAGAGTGTATGTTTACCGTTGATTTGAAATAAGGGTTTTTTAAATCACCTAGGTGGATTCTCCGTACCTATCTACCCGGTTTAAACGCCGGACACTTACTTGTCATTTACTTTTGCTCTTTCCGCTCACTACCAATGTTATGCTAGTAGCAACTATTATCATTCTGAATTAATTTTTAAAAAATTTCAAATGATGAAGTAGATTCAAAACAATTTAGACGAACGCTTTTTTCTGGTGTAGTATTCTTTAGATTAGATGGTTTAATTATAAAGTTTGAATTATCATCCTGGAAAAGATCATCAGCGCCCAATCGGTGTGGTAGTATATTTGGGATTCTCTGTCGTAAGCGTGAAAATCATGAAATTAACTGCAACTTTATGTAATTGATTTCAAGCTTTGCTTTTAGCGTGTGTTTGTGTGTATGTGAAATGTTTAGCAATACTTGTTACTTTAGTACAAGTTATATGAAAGAAAAATTCTGTTATGAATCCGTGATTAGTATAATTTATGGGAGATTGTAGCATCCTACTTCCAATTGCGTCCAAACTATTGGCTTCCCCATACATCGTAGGTTGTTCAAAGCCCGAGAAAGATTGACTGGTTTTGGTTCTGATCGAGGATGTATTGATCATATCATCACCTTCCGCCAAATGTTAGAACACCGTCATACTTATCACAGGCTAACAATCGTAATGTTTCCTGACATTGGGGCCACTTTTGATTGGTTGGACACAACTGTTCTGTGAGATTGTCTATTGAAGAAGGGTGTGCCTGAGAAGTTTAATAACATATTGATAGCCCTCTGTACTAACTAACTAACACATGAGGCAGAATGAGATCACACAAACACCTCTCTCCATTGTTCCATTGAAGTATTGGAGTTAGACAGGGTTGCGTAATCTCACCATTCTTCTTCAACCTTGCTATGAATGACGTTTTTGAAACAGCTGTGATGGATGTATGTGGTATTGGTGTGGATCTGTTGTTTAGAGAAAGACTTTCCGAGCGTGAGTATGCGGATAACAATGTCTTAGTGTGGGGTGATACCTAAGCCATGCAATCCTGACTTAATGAGTTGGCAATTAGTGTTCATAGGTATGATGTGTGCTCTGAACTTTCAAAGTGCAAAGTACTTTTACAAGACTGTTAGGACCCTGATTCTGTACTCATTGTGGATAGTGAGTAGATAGAAGCAGTCAAGACTAGTTGGAAAGAAGGGAGAGGTGGTCAGTGTATGAGATGGTGTTGTGGTATGAAAGAAAGCTGTACATGACTGGGTTCTACTGGTCCTTCACGACTCCCTGGCTAAGATCCTAGAAGTGATGTAACACAGTGGCTAGAGACGTTATCAGATATGACTTAGAATAGAAGTCAGTGGCGATCTTACTCTAACGTCCTCTTACTTTCTTCGTAAAAAGTGAACGTGACTTCTTTAATTGACAGAATTTTTTCCGATTATATTTTTGTTAACTAAAGTTTTTTTCCCAGTATTATCATTACTATTATTATTACTTCAATGTTATACACCAATTTTTGTTCTTTGCTGTTCTCCTTTTTCTTATACACACTTTACATTCCCTATTTCTTCACATTCTCATTGTGATTGTATGGCGCATCTGATTTCTTCCTCCCATTGAAGCAATGTTTATATGTTCAAATAAATAAATAAATGATAATCGATCGTACTCGAAGAGTTTAAAAGTTCATGCTAAAGATTAATAAAAATCCTTTTTTATTACCTCATGCGAAATTTTTGAGAAATGTTGAATTTCTCAACCTTGAAGAGTGAAAATAACACAATATTAGTCATTTGATATTGATCAGCATACTATACCTTGAAGAAACGGTAGTTTTCTATGTTGTTTTGTTACTCACCTCCTGACTACCCAAATGAAGGTTTCAATTTACAACTTAGTGGTTTTAAGTTAACTAATTTCATAACTTAACCAATGATATAACCGTTTAGCTGACATTAATATTGCGATAATTTGAAGATCATCGAAATAGTAATTTATTTATGGAATGCTTTCAGAAGAAATAACTACTAATCGATCTGAAATTAGAGTCATTATTGACGAATAACTAATTCAATCAAAATACTTTGACTACGATTGAATGATCTGTTAACAAAGGTTTTAATCATGGTTATGAAATTTGACTTCTCTCCATTGAAGTAACTGCTTCTATGAATTTAGTGTTCATCTTGTTGTACTAATGAGGTATTTCAATTTTGACTGATGCATATATGTGCCTGGTCCTATATTGTAGCTGACTTTCTCTATTTTGTCAACTACCTACCATTTCATATATTACGTAGATTTATTATCTCCAGTTATTCAGTATCATTAAACATTCAAATACTACAGACAGAGTTTCTTTTTTGTTAATTAGATTAATTTCGTCTAGTGATCATCATCTTTTAAGATAACAGAGACGTTTTATATCACGAGTTGACTTTAGCTAAACAAATTTTAAAACCTAGAAAAGGCATTACATAGTATTTTTTTTAGAAAAACACATCCACAACAGTGATATAAGTCATCCATTGACGGTAAATCAGTATTGTGAATTGATAAAAATAGAAAATTCGAAGCATTTGATACCAGCTCGCTGTATAAGGTTTGAAGATCCTGGATTTAAATGTTCAAAAAAGTCCTACACTAAAACAAAACAGCTATCTAGTACTCCTTGGTGTTTTATTGGTACTTTAAATCCTTTCAGTGTGTGATGTAAATGTTATAACTTATGACTTTGTGCCCCTACTAAAATATAACGTCCATATCGGTCCTTCTTCCTGTCTAACCCTATGCCTGTTGAGTCCAGAACACTAGTATCAGCCCTTGCGATATGAATCATGTATTTGAAACATACTCGGTTTATATACAAACCAAAGAGATCACATCGTACCATAAAATAAAAAATAACACATATACACGATCTAGCCGAAAATAGCTGTGAATGTGGGAGACTGTAATTAATAGACTGGATATAACTGAAGAACGGTAAATCGTATAATAATCGTCTATAAGTCAGAATAATGCTTATAATAAGAGGAACATGAATAAAGATAGTTTGCTTACTTAACAATTATACAATAAAAATATATGTATAGTATTAGTCCATAAACAGAGTACAATAGTTACCATCCACCATCCATCTTGGAAAAACTGGAAGCAGTAGACGGATGTTTCGTCCTAGTATGAAACTCCTTAGAAGTGTGCATCCACAATCCTTCATGTGGGACGTGAACCCAAGACCTTCTGTCTCATGCGCGAATGCTTAACCTCTAGACCACTGAACCGATATCCAACGGTATTAATGTCTAACTTGTATTATGATGGATTTTTTCTCTCCATCTGAATAGTTTAATTCGTAATTTACTCAATACCTTGCATTCTTTTACTGTTGTTAGCTTAAAATGTTATTTCTTTTTAGTATTCAAGATTTGATTATAAGTATTGTAGTGAACAGAACATCAGTAGGAACAATCGAATATATTCGAGCACAAAATTACACAGCATCTCAGTAAAATCTGAGAACCATATAGTAAATGCTCAATTTGCAAAATGACCATAATGACTCAGACTTCATTGTTCTTGCATCTTCATACAAATTTCATTCTGTTTCCATTTTTTACTGTTCGATCCTCTTGTCTCTCTGCTGTCAGACATTCTGTTCCTAACTAACATCATATACTACTTATGTCAATATAAGTAGCACACACCACAGTATATCTATCGAATTATTTAAAGTTTACATTTAAAATCAAATCCCTATCGATATCAAAGTAAAGACAACATTTTAAGATCGTCAAATTAAATTCTAGAGATTTACTGCATTTGACATTCATCAAGGATTTATCATTTTCATTCTTGACTTTGGCTAATTGGCGATATGAATGTATAGCTTCATTATGTATAACAGATTATCTTCTACTTCACTACTCATCCCGTTTTTGATTTCAGTTACTCACTAATCTTTATAGTGTGAGTAAACGGTTTTTCTTCCTCTTCTATATGTGGTTACCTGTTGAACGTTTGGGCTATTAAGTATGAGTATAATATCGCAATCGATTCCTGTTGAGTAATAACAATTTGAATGTAATTTTCATCACGAACTGTATACTCTGAAAGTAGAATAAAAGTGATGTTTATTTTTTTGCATTATCTTCATTATTGTTTGACATTAGTTCACAATAATAGAAGGTACTCTTTAGTTGTAAAAAATCTTCACATGTAAATCACTGTCAATCATCTGTTTATTAGTGATTAGCTTCAAGATAAGACAATGATGGTTATCAGTGGAATCAAGGACGTGCGTTTCCTCCTATTAGGGATTCGTCAGCTGAATGTACTTTCATCCTCACAGGATGTACATATATCAATAAGAGACTGATCGCTTACAGTTCTAAACATGCATAGAAAGATTCAAATAAACAAACAAAATAAATTCTAAACTAACCTAATTATAATTCACTTGGTATTGTTTTACTTGAATCTTCCTATTGATGTTTAGGACTACAATTGATCAGTGTGTTATTTGCATATGTGCATACTGTGCGCGTCCTCAATTCCACTGCTAGCCACTAACCATCTTTGCTTATAATGCTTGTTAAGTAAGGCAATATCGAGTCAATACGCATAGTGAATTAAACTTCATCTCATTGCACAAGCAAGTGGCTATCAGGACTTATTAGCTAAGTGGATAATGCGAGATGGTGTTTGAAGCGAACGGTACTGAATTGGAGTCCTAGAGTGAACACCAACTCTGAGATTCAGGTACATCCAGCTGACGAGTCCCAAATAGGACGAAATGCGTATCAAACTGGATTCCACTGCTAGGCACTATCCTTCTTTGCTTATAACCTAATTATAACTTACCATCATTTACCATGTAATTTGTCTATCTAGATACTATTTTAACTTTACTCATAAAAGATGTCGATTTTGTTACTAGATCCAATGACATAATCATTTGAAAAGAAAGAAAGAAAAAGAAATTCGTTATCAATTTTATATTTCAAAAATGTTACATAATCATTTTTACAAGAGTAATACATAGGAACTAGTAAAAATGATATCAGTTAACTGACTGACTATTGTCTATATATATATATATATATATATATATATATATATATATATATATATATATATATATATATATTGAAATAATTGTAGGCGGTTATTTTGTTATGGCGGGTTAATTCATCATTTCTTAATATGTACCATCCGATGATAAGTAAGAAGATAAAGAGTAGAGAAAGAAAGAGAGAAGATTACACATTCAAGTTTCAATACTTCTATTCATTCTATTTTAATTGTATCAAATAATGACAATAGAAATGAATAAAAAAATGTTACAAATATTCAAATATTTCAGACTATATTACTCTACTATAATGATGATGATTCTATATCTGGGAAAACATCTTCAATTCATTGTATTGATAGTTTTGTTGTGTATAAGATGAGTGATAGAAGTGAAGAGTCAAGTAAGAGAAATCGTGAGAATTGTTTTTGAAATAGTAATAATAAAAAAAGTAACACATATGTAATAGAGAATGAAAGGAATTTTACATTGTAAAGATGGGCAAGATGTTTGATGTTGTGTTTGGTCATCGCTGATTGATGTGCCGGAAAAAAAAAGTGCTGATCACTTATACTTGGAACGAGGAACCTCGGCAATTCCCACGATGAGAAAGTTAAGAACAAAAAGACTGGTATATGTAAAGATTTATTAGCGCCAAAACACTGTGACAACGACGACGACGACCCTAGTCGAAAATACATTCATTTATATATTGATTGTACACCCATTTTGATTAATAATTAGGATTAAATCACATACCCAGTTATAACAAATCACTTACTAAGCATAGTTCATGTCAATGGAATACAAGAATATCCTATATCATACAGAAGAAAATATCATACTGGAAAAACAATCAGTTACTATACTGAATGATTTTCACGTTCAATCAAACTCATAATAAGTAAATCAATCGAAAATTGACTTCTTTCCATCATATCGAGCAATAATTATTCTACTGGGTATAACTCAGGTCCTAACATTTGGTTTCTAGTCACTAAGTCATATGTTCAAATCACCAATTATCAATCAACCAAGATAGGTATACGAACTTGTACCTGATGAGTGAAATAAAAGTTTGATACGCATGTGGTTAATAGTTGTTATAGTGTATTCTCATCAGAAACTAACTTACGTGAATGAATACTTGATCAATGAAATCCCCTGACTTCTCCAGCAATATTAATCGGAAGCGTACATATTACTACCTTCGCCTGTCTGGTTGCATGAAATTGGACAACTTTTGTCAAAGACAGAGCCTCTTTCTATTTGGGCAAACCAGATATGTGTGTTATTTACTTCATATATTGGGAGTCTGAACTCAAAGTTGGTATTAACATTGATTGCTGCCAGTTCAAATATTTGAATTGAATCAGAAGGAGCTTTTACAGTACTATAATCAGTGGCTTCATCATCATTTCCTTATGACCTGCTAATTATCACGTGATACGATCGCTAATTAAAACATCGACTTATTGACTAGATCAATCACACATAAACCAGTATGAACAGCCTAGAGTCAATTCTGAGTTCTTATTAGACCTTCCAAAATGAACATAAACACTTGAATGCAGCTGATAAGTCATGAATGGAGTGTAACTTATGTTCTCGATTCTACTGCTAGTTAAAACCCATTTATTAAATAATGAATGATTATTTATCAATTAGGATTGACTAGCATTCAATTCTTAATATCAATAATAGATTAATATGTATATATACCTTGAAAAATAATGATGTAAGATATTAAACTCATATTATTATGAAGTAGGATTTCGGCATCGTTTTCTAATCTACGCTGTCAATAATTTAACTGAAGAAAACAGTATAACACATTTAATAACTTGTTCAATTTATATAAAGATAGATGAAAGGAAAATATACATCACTTTTCATAGAGGAAGATTGAACAAGACCAGAATAATAGTAAAGTGGGGAAAAAAACTCCAGTTGTGAAAGCGTTATCACACCCCTTTTCCTCTCTCTCTCTCTCTCTCTCTTTTTCTCTCGTTTTCTTTTTCTATATTGTTTTCTTACTCTTTCATTCAATTACTAACTGTAAATCAAATCAGTCATTTGATACTATCAATCATCCTTTGTTAGCTTGTCCTTTAATGAACTCAATCTTTGTACATGTATAAAGAGAAAATTAATAATAATAATACTGTTACTACTACTAATACTACTACAAGTAATAATACTTCCTTAAGCCTATTATCCGTCATGAAGGAGTATAGATCGCCCACCAGTATTTCGCATCGAACTCTGTTCTTGGCAATCCTTCTTAGTTGTTATTCATCCTTTTGATGTTTACCTCCGATTCCCGACGTAGTGTGTAATATAAGTAGTATAATTGTTAAATGTTCTGGATTATATACATGTGTATCATTCGATGTTGTAGACTACCTGGTTGGGGCTAGTGTCATCAATGGTTAGGTACATTGAAAAAGTTGGCTCAAAATCAACTACATTGTCGTATATGCCGTCACTGTTTTTTTTCAGTAAAAAAAAATGCCTAAAATTACCTCACCTCCTCTGTCCTTAAAGATCTTCATCGATAAGCTTAAAACAACAATTTGATGCGGATAATCATTTTATTGTTTACAACAAAATTGCAGAATATTTTTGTAAATTATGAAAATCATACAATAAATACTTTATCAGTTGCCCTTTACATCCTTCATGATTCTGCCGATTTTCAATTCCATTATGTTTCCCTTTCTGTTTTCTTCAGTTCAATCTTCTCAACCTTCTGTTGACAGACATTCCACTTCTAACTAGTGTTAAGTACTGCTGTAGTGAGTAAGAACATGAGTGGGGAAAGTCGAATGTATTCAACACAAACTTACAGGACTTGTTAATAAAATCTAACAGTCAAACAGTAAATACGTAATTTGCAAAATGTCCGCTAATTGTCTCATAATGACTCAGACTTCATTGTTCTTGCATTTTCATACAAATTTCATTCTGTTTCCATTCTTTACTGTTCGATTCTCTTGTCTCTCTGCTGCCAAACATTCTGTTCCTGACTAACGTCATATACTACTTATCTCAATATAAGTAACATACACCACACTTGTCGTCCCTCTAATAAGCTGTTCTTGCAGTCATTCCGATCGCTTAAATACCGTTTAATACTTCTATTTGACTACTTTTTTCTATCTTTCTCTTTTCATCCCATTTTTTAGGTACATGTGTTGCAATAGCTACTGTCCTAATATTAATCATAAAATTTTCAGTACATACATTTGCACAAAATAAAGAACCATGGCAAACTGGAAAACATTTGAAACAAATAGTTAATTATATTATTACTGGTGTGACAGTATTAGTTGTTGCTGTTCCCGAAGGTTTACCACTTGCGGTAACTTTATCATTGGCATATTCAGTGAAACGTATGATGAAAGTAAGTGTTTCTATCTTATTCATGATTGATATTGCCACTGTTGTCGTTGACTCATTCTTCTTTCCTTTTTCTTTTCAAATGAAGATAACCTTTTGTCATGAATTGATTTTGGTCAGACAATTATTTGAAAAAAAACATGAGTAATTGGCTAGCTGTTTCTTTCTGGTATTGAGACATTTCAGCAGTTGTACACTTTCATGATCCCACTAAGTAATCGAATATATGATCTTTGAATGTTGCGATGAACATGATATCTGTAGGCTAGTGAGACAGTATTTAACTGTTTATAGATTCAAATTCAATCACTTCTTAGTATAACTCATCTATTATGCAATAGATCTGATATTAACTGTTCCAGTTTCATCATGGTTGAATATAACCGGTCATGAATTGTCTAATTACTTAGCTCTAATTTATCAATTCTTCTAATGCTTCCCTTCTTTATACTTTATATTTTTCTTTCTGTTATAATATAAAGTCAACATTATTGTAACTAGCCAGTCACTCATATTCGAAAATCTTTAACTATTTCAATGAATAATTGTTCAGCTGTTTCATGAAATTGCATTTTTACATATTTGCACTGTTCTACGACAACTGTTCTCTTGTGTCTATGTGTGTGTGTTTGCGTGTGTGCGTATATGCGAGTGTATGTAACTTGGTGAAATTTCAATAATGTAATTGTCAAATTACTTAGTTTACTTACTTATTTACACCTGTTGCTCCTAATGGAGCATAGGCCTCGTACCAGCATTCACCAACCCACTCTGTCCTGGGCATTCTTTTCTAGTTCTATCCAATTCTTGTTCATTTTTCTCATGTCTATCTCCATTTCCCGGCGTAAAGTGTTCTTTGATCTTCCTCTCCTACTTTGGTCTCGAGGATTCCTTGTGAGGCCTTGTCTTATGATGCGGTTGTGTGCTTTCCTCAATGTGTGTCCTATCCACTTCCAGTGCTTCTTCCTGATTTCTTCCACCGCTGGGATCTGGTTTGTTCTCTCCCACAATTGGTTGTTGCTAATAGTGTCCGGCCAACGGATCCGAAGTATTTTGCGTAGACAACTGTTAATAAACAATTGTATCTTCTGGATGATGACTTTAATAGTTGTCCACTTATCCGCCTCACAAAGTAGAACTGTCTTGACATTTGTATTGAAAATTCTGACCTTGTTGTTCGTTGACAATTGTTTTGAGTTCCAGATGTTCTTCAGTTGTGGATGTGCAGCTATTGCTTTGCCGATCCGCGCCTTCACATCTGCATCAGATGCACCGTGTTCATCGATGATGCTGCCCAGATATGTAAAGATTTTTACATCTTCCAAATCTTTTCCGTGTAGTGTGATTCGATTGTTGCATTTTGTGTTGTATCGAAGGCTAATATATATATATATATATATATATATATATATATATATATCATTAAATAAAACATTCTATGCAGCTAAGCTCCTAATCGTTTTCTCTAGCCGACCTTCCATTCTGGGAGGTGTTAAGGACAAACTTCTGCTTTGGGCCACATCAATATGCATCTGTAAATTTACTTGCTCCTATGGGGCAGGGTACAGTGGCTGCACAAAGCGATCACTTTCTAAACCCATCTCAGAACACAATCCGGCCTGGCTTTTAAAACAATTACCAGTTCACTCTGGATACATCGCTCTGAACAAGCCTTCTATTGAAATGATCTACACAATTGAAGGAACTGGATCGATGGGAGGTCGAATCAAAAACTTTTATACTGTTGAGGTATTGGCGATCTACTTATTCAAGCCCGAACTCGGCGTGTAAAGACGATGCATCCAACCTCTTATCCTTCCTCGACATTAATTCCCTTCTATAGTATATCTTGGGCTTGTTTTTTAAATTAAAGTTCTGTAATTTTAAACTGTACTCAGTTATTAATATTCACTTTTTATTATTATGTCCTTTGTGTATTTCGTTTTTCTTCATATCCATCAAGTGGATGACTATCATAATTTTGACCTGTAAATTGTTTTCATCCTTCTATTATTCGATGACCCTTTGAATATTGTATAATCTCGGATCCCTTTATGATGCAATCTTCTCTATCATTCTACAGACATATTTACCATACAACCATAAATACGAATATACAGCTTAAGTAAATGATTTCAGCGGCACGAGAAAATTTTGTTCGCTGAATTCTCTTTATTTGAATTCAATGATACAATGGGTTATTTTAATTACTGCATAATATTAATGATAATAATAACAATGACAAGTTGAGATGATGGCGGCTAGCAGTGGAATTTGGGACGCACGTTTCGTCCTGGCTGGAACTCATCATCCCAGAGTCCTGGAGTTAACATCGACTCTGGGATACAGGTGTATCCAGCTAACGAGTCCCAGTTTATATGCTAATAAGAGACTGATCAGTAGCAGTGCTAAACATTAATGCGAAGACTCAAGCAACCAATACAAAAATTAATGATACTGATAGTTTGTAATTTCATTATATTTTATCTCTTGAATCCTTCTGGTCCTTATAACAACAATTAAAATTGTTAGTAAATATTGCTTTTTGAAATTGTCTTCATCGTAGATTGATGACCTTAAGGTGTTAGATAGATGTCTAGTAGCTATTTGGCTTTCAGTTCTCCAAGTGACATCAACCCATAAAAATAAAAGTAATTAGAGAAGTGAATAACTCTCTCTCTGTGTGCGTGTCTTTCCAAAGCCAACCACTTTGAGCATAAGACAAATATCATCATTAATAAAAGATGATTGCTTCACAATATCCCAAATTGTAACTGAAGTTAGAAATGTAAACTATTAATTACTCATTCAATAGTCTAAAGATTAAACTCTCATCAATAGATCTATGAGTCCTTGATTCCATTCATAGTTGAGTCACATCTATACAATACTGAAGAGTTTTGCATTCGGACGAAACAAGTCCCTTCTAGTTTTTAGTTGTGTTTTTTTTATATCCAACTGATGTTAATACTACTCGTTAGGTATACTGTCATTCATATTTCATGAAGTTAGTTTCTTTTCCCCTTTTTCTAAAAGCCTATTATTTATCATTGAAATTATAGTGATTTCTCTCTCTCTCTCTCTCGAAATAAACTCTTGATCAAGATAATCATTTAAGAAAAAAAGTTTATATTTTCTCTCCTAATTATACAAATATATAAAAAGAATAAGATAATGGTTTCCGTGACCTATACTTCTTTACTTTCATTTATCAATAATGACATTAATGAGATTTTAATGGAACTCATTATTATTATTATTATTATAAGCTGTATGGCTATATAGAGATGAAGGTGTCATATGAAACTGGAGGTTTGCCATTGGTATTGTAGATGGTTCGGCATTATTTTGACAAGTTTTATTGACTGCTGATGCTCAAAATTGGTTTGCTGGTTAACCGATTTCATTCATACTGGTGGTTGCTTTCCAGTTTTCTCAAGGACTATTGTCATTGGGACATTGTAAGGACTGTCGCCATTGTTAACATTAGTAAGTTTGATTGTCGTGTAAGCGGAATAGGTCAACTTTGGCCTGTTCGTGGTGTGCATAATTGATTCACGCGATCATTGATCGGAATAGCCATAAACGTGACGTGAAGGTGCATATGAATGGTGCGAATGGTTCACAAGGGTGCTTGGTGCCTGTATGGTTGTATCACAGAATTGAACTGTACTATTCAGATTGTAGGGTTAATGCGTATACGGTATCTGGTTCTCTTGTTAATCGGGATTGAACTGTATTGTTTGGGTTGTCACATGAAAGTCTGGATGGCGTCTGGTTCTCCTGAAAACCAATGTAAAATTACCCTGCCTCACAAGGGTATATTATATAACTAATTATTACCATTATTATTATTACTGTTATTATTATTATTCAGGGCAGATTGGTAAACATTCATCTATTTATTTTTTCCAAGTTAGCTAGCCCAGTAACTTGGAGAAAAATTGTGTTAGAAATTAGAGGTGGATAGATTTTTTCGGCATTATATTAGTTACAGTTTTTGTTCAGTTGTCTCAGTGTTTCTGCGTGTGTATGTGTGTGTGCGTGTGAAATAAAGCAAAAGACTGAGAACTGTTAGAGTACTACAATGTGGTTACTGAAACTGAAATAGAGGGATTGGAATGTTTGTCTGTGAATTAGTACGATAATAAGGCTGAATTTATTGTCAGGTAGTTTGGTGAAGACTGTTGAATTTTGTTATTGTTTATTATGCTTGTAGTGTACAAGAACTGAAGTACGGTAAATCAACTACACAATGAAAATCATACATTAAATACATCATTTTCATATATTCCTTGAGTTGTTGTTTTACATACTATATCATTCTTTTAATTATGTTGTTATTCCGATCGATCTCCATTTTCCTTCCTGTTCTCTTCATTTCAATCTTCTGCGGGCGAGCATTTTCACTTCCAGTTCCTGATACATATATCTGTCCACATAAGAGTTGCACACCACATATTCATTGATATTGAATAAATAACTGTATTGAAAACCTGAAAGTACTTGATAGCTGTTTCGTTCCAGTAATAGTAATTTTAGTATGGAACTCCTCACAAGTGCGCACCCACGATCCTGCCCCACGAGATTAGAACTCAGTCTGGCATGCGAACGCTTAACCACTAGATATTTCCTAAATTTCTAGTAAGGAATAGTAGCCAGTTGAGTTCAACCGGGTCTGTTGTGAGATAGTAACTCACTGATGACAATAGTGGACAATGGCGCAACTTGAAGTTTGATAATAACACCGTTGGATGTCTGCTCAGTGATCTAGTGTTTAAGCGCTCGCGCGTGAGACTGATAATTCCTGGGTTGGAATCTCTTGGAAGGCGGGATCATGGATGCGCGCCGCTGAGGAGTCTCACAATAGGACGAAATGGCCATCCAGTGCTTCCAGATTTTCCATAATAGTGTAGCTTGAATTGACTCATGAATTCAACTATTAGTTATGGATTAAGATAAGATGTGAGTTCGAACAAAGTTTTTCTTGTTGCTTGATTCTAA